ATACATATATAAACTTTTGAGCCAATGCCATTTTTCGACATTACTCGATGAAATGAAACATATTATGACAAAATTTTATAAAAATTACGATATGAGACCGGCTACAATAGATAGATTTCTAAAGAAATCTACCTAATAATTAACTTACTGTACTTCCGATGGAAAGTATGACAGAGTATTATCGCGGACATTCGGTTTCAATATGCTACTAAAAGGTTGATGTGGTAAGAGATGTGGATATAGTAATGCTTTTGATCCCATTATGAAGCTTTTCAATCTTGGATGAAGTCTTGGCAGGAATCTTGTTCTTTTTAATCGCAATTCCTCTTCTCTTACACTATCATGAACCATTTTAGTAATTATACCGTGACTGAACTGTTCATCTTTAAATTGATTTTTCCATTCTTGTACAGTTTTTAACGCTTCATCGAGATTGAAAATATTGAAAGCTGAATTTTCATCTTTTTTGAGTGATCTATTTAATAAAAATTAACTATTAACAAATCTATAAAAATGTTACAGCCGTTATAAGTTTATACTTATGTTAACCAACATACTTGATACTGTCTATATTTTCTTCACAAGTTACTGACTGACTATGTAATTTTGGATGTTTATAAGTCATTAAGAAGTGTTGCGTCATTAGTTGAATGTGCTGTTGAAATTGAATATTTAATAGAGTCCTAAAGTCTTCATCTAATGCTCTAGATAATTCAGTTTCAATTGGTTTTGGTTCACTCTGGACAATTGGAATATCCTGTAAAAATAATAGTTTATTAATTTTTTGTACCTCTAAAATAATAAATAATTATTAAGTCTTTTTTAAAAATGTTTACAGTTTCCATCTGTGGAATATCTTGTACTAAAGTTTCTGGTTCATCTGTAGCTTTTTTCTTCTTTGTTGCATCATTAGATTCTGGCAAGTATATGTCAACAAATTCAACCATTTCTGCTATCAAATCATTCAATTCTTTGCGAGGAATTTTAACAGCTTTATCAGCTCTAAATTCTTCTTTATCAACTAAAATTAAAAATAAACAAATAACAAGGAATAGAATAATATGAAGAATAATTTCGGAATAACAATAAAAAAAAAAATTCACTTACATAACTCTTCATCATGGTCTTCAAGTATATTATATTCAGGATCAGCTTCAGTATCATCTTCAACTTCAGCTTCAGGATTCGTATAATTATTCAAAAAACCAATCCAAGCTGGATCTTTATCATTGTTATCCCAATCATACATATCAAGCGTAATATCAGGTGGAACGAATGCTTTTTCAATAGCTTCGATCGGTATCTCGCTTAAACTTAATTTTGACCGGGTTCTTTGACCAATATTTTCTTCTTCGGTAGGTACATGAGGAATTCTGTAAGTAAAACATCAAGTTAAAAATTTTCAAGAATAAATAACATCACTAAGGGGTCATTCATTAATTACGTAAGGAAAATTTTGGTGACTTTTGACCCCCCCCCCTTCCCTATGTAAGTATACGTAGGATTTCTTTAACCCCCCGCCCTTTCTTATGTAATATTCTATCTCGATCTTCTAAATAATAAAAATACGATAATACATGGGAAATACGTACTATAATTTTTTCTATAGAACCAAACATGGATAACAATAAAAACATATTAAATTTGAATAAGTTATTTTTTTTTTTTTTTTTTTTTTTTTTTCAATAAGCAATAAAAATTATTTAAATAAAATAAAAATTCGACTGTACACTTTAAAATTAAGAAAACTATTTGGAATCCAAAATGGAATTAGATTTTTAATATTGAACTTTGATTCACGAAATATTACGAAAGAATTAATTTCACCCCCCTCCCCCCAACATAAAGACATATAGAGATTTTCTTAACCTTCCCTTCCCCTCAATACCTTTACGTAATTAATGAATGGCCCCTAATGACATTTAAAAAAAATTTTTTTTAAATTACGATATACTACGAAATAATAGTGATTTGATAAAGTATGTCACAAGTAAGACACAGAGTATTTAATCTATATTTCTCTAAATATTAATAAGTAATACTCAATTACTCAGGAATTTTGAATAATCCTTCAATATCATATTGTGGTTCAGGTAGATTTAGTTCTTCTACAGTTGTCTCTGGTACAACTGGAACAGCAGGCGTTGAAGGTTCCGAATCAATGTCACTTAGTGTAACATTACCTTCGCCTTCATCCTCACTGTGTTGATCTTGATCAGGTTTATACTCTTCATCAGATGAATCCTCTTCCAGCTCTTGATCAATTAAGACTTGCACTTTTGATGATTTTGTTTTTTTAGCTGGCGTTAGTGACCATGGTATGTTAGGCTGTGTCATTGCTAGCTCCCTGTTTTAAAAAATTTTTAATAAAATAATTAATTTAATAATTTTTGATTTATAAATAAAATTTACTTACTTAGCTTTAGCTCTTGTTAATTTTGGTTCAAAAACGGCAGCTTCTTCAGAATTATATATACTATTATTTACCATTGCTAAGACATGTTCATTAGTGATAACATGTTTAATAATATTTTTAACATTAATAGCTGTTAAATTTGTTTTGGCTGCTTTAGCATCCAATTGCCTTTCAAGTTCTTCTTCCACCTCATCCAGTACCATCATGTCAGTAACTTTGAGTCTTCGTCGTTTCGTTGGACGTTCATTATCATTAACTTCAGCAACGTCTATTTGTAGACCAGTTTCAGAATCTGATTCATAGTTGCTATTTTTTTCATCATCATAATATATTACAGGAAACTCGAAATCACCAGCTTCGTAATCCTGATTCATTTTAAGAATATTATTTACCTGTAAAAAATTCAATCATATTTTTTAAAAAAATTTTATTTTTTGGCGGGCAATCAAAGGTGATTTGCTGCAATAATTTATTATGAGGTTATAAAAATTTTTAACTACTTTGAACTTACTTTATGAGCAACTGTAGAAATAAATTAGGTTATTCACTCCGTTATTATCTAAAACTTATTTTAAGTTTTATATTTTCAACCCATCCAACTTGTTTTAACTGCAGCGAAAGAAATTAACTTTGTTATTAAACGGTTTTGTTTTCATTGACATTCACATATGTATAATCAGCAATACTTGGGAAGGGGAAATAACTTGGGATCCAAAACAAAAGTTATTTCTGTCAAGAGACGCTAGAGAGAGCATCGACGGTCTAAAAACACGTGACAGTGTCTGTTGTTGCCTCTGTTGCGTGACCGGCTGCTAGGAAAATAGAAGTTCTGAAATTTTCAAGCCACTATTAAATGAACAATTATATAAATGAAACTTTTTTGTAAAATATAAAAATGAAAAAAAAAAAACAGTTGTCAATATATTTGGTGGTTTTACTAGAGGATTACGTCTATAATGTTATGATATATAAATTAAATAACAAATAGGTGTTAAAAATAATATTGAAAAAATAATAAAACTATGAATAATACTAAAGTTAGCCGACGTTTTTAATTTTTTGATTTTTTTTTAAATTATTAAATTAGAACTAAAAAATAGTTTTAAAAAATTTAACGTATTGTTTTTCAAGTTTTTTACAAATGGAAATTTTTTTTAATGATTTTTTCAGTAAAAAAAAATTCTAAAAATTTTTAGATGTCGGCTAACTTAATTTTCATAAAATATGATACTAAAATTAGCAGACATTTGATAGTTGTTGATTTTTTAAATCAATAAAAATTAAATGTAAAAAAATATTTTTTAAAAATTGCACTTAGAATTTTTAAAATTTTCTGTATGTCAAATTTTTTTCTACTAAATTTTTTAAAATAATTTTTTTCAATAAAAAAGTTATAAAGATTTTCCGATGTCGGCTAATTTAATTTTTACATCAAAATAAATCAATATTTGAGTTCAGTATATTCTATTCGTATAGTAAAAATTCAATTGTTAATAAAAATAACAATCGAATGTGTTATTTAGAAATTAAAAAAATATATATTGACAAAATTAACTTTTAGAATAATGGTCTAAAGCAAACATTTGCCTTCGCAAAATAAAGTAAATCTATCAATTGAGTATAATTATCGAAAAGGTCAAAAATCAAAAATAGTAACAAATACTTTAAAATTTAATTGCATTTCAATTATAACAACAAATTTTTAGTTTATAATTTTGTTATCTATAGGTTTCAAAACAAATTAAAGTCGTTGAAAAATCTTTATATAGAATAACATTTGACTATTAACAACAATTAAAACATAGTTATATTTTTTTAATTTTATAGCTAGAAAATATTAAGTTGTGTCTCATATTTCATCGTAAATTTTTTTTAGTTATCTTTAAACAACTTGAACTATGCATGGGCAAACACTACTAAAAGATAAGAAGGGTATTTTCCAAATAAAGTTTTACCTAGGTTGTAAATTTTACGACTTTCAGATGTACATGTGGTCCATATGACAAAATGATTTTATTTTTCATAGACTTCATTCTACATCCGACAAATACCAGAATTTTCATAAATTTTCTAGTTTATAGAACTTCAAGTTCTCTAATTATGAACACACGGTAACTAAAATGTCCTTGAAAAATAAACCCAAAATCTTCAATATAATAAAAAAAACCTGAGTACTTTCCAACAAATGAATTTAAAATTATTTTACAACCCAGCAAAAACAAATCAAGGGACATCTGTTTATCCTTTCTTCGAAATACTCTTCTTGGTATATATTGAATAAGTTTATAATACAAACTCAAACATAATTTGAATCTGAAAATTACAAAAGTTTAGACATATAGCCTTTGGTTCATTTACCTTATCGTACCATGTACTAATGGACTGTTACTTCTATACTTGTGAGTGATAATTATCTCAAAATTCATTTTATTTGGCATTACCTTTGGCTTAGGCTAGAGTATTTAGACAAATTCAAAAATTTTTTCGCTTAAAAAAAGGTATTTTATTTTTAGGATAATCTAAGATCCAAAAGAAATACAGATTATAGCAATAAATAATAGTAATACCTAGTTCAAAGTATAATAATTAAAATACTCGCTATGAATTTAATCCGTTTACTTATCAGCCTTTCATCGAATCTCTTCAAATCCTCAAATCAAGTGTTCTCTAACTTCAGGATTAAAACTGTAGACTCTAAATATTGTACTATTCGTCTTTTCGTCGTAGGAGGGGGAGGGGATACGATGGTTAGGGATGTAAATTGACACTTCGCACGAGACTCGAGACTTTACTTCAGTAAATACCAACCACCAACGCCAACCGCCGAACAAGTCCAGTCCGGTTCAAACATCCCGAGTGTGCACATGCCTTTGAGATTGATCCTTGTGATACTTGAATAATCTTTGTTTTATCCCTCGTTTTATTTCTTTATCGAATCGTGGTGATAAAACAAACTCGACTCGTTTATAAATTCTTCATTCTGATAATCCGCGAAATATTTTTTGGCTGAGTTTTGTTCGTTTATTTTTTTTTTGCTGATCATCAACGTAAGTTTTTAATTTGTTTTATAATTTTTCAAGCACATTTTTATACAAGATTATTTGGATTTAAAAATTTATATCAAACAAAAGTTATCGCTGAAATTGAATTTATTATGTCACAATTTTTTCGCGTTAAATGATTTTATTAATAAGTTTGAAATCGATGGGATAGCACATAATGTTCTATAATCTCATTCATTTAATTGATAATAAAGTTGGATTGTAGTTAATGAATTTTTAAAAATTTTTTTATTTTACCAATTACTTTTTGGAAAAATTTTTATATGAATTATAATAAACCTTCCGCACTAATTAGTCTCTTTTTCAAAAAATTGCTTATATTTTTATACTAAAAAATGAAATTTCTGAATATATTTACTATGGCCCACAGTAATATAGTGACACATTCATATGTTACTTTTTCGCGGTGTAATATCATGATAAAAGATTCCTTTTATTCTATTGAATTGAAAATTATAAAATTTTTAATGGTATAATTACAGACAACATAAAATCAAATGCTTGCTATTTTCAATGTTTAAGATTTTAAGATACTTCAATTATTTTTCTGTGAAAGCGAAAATTTTTGAATGATTCATATTTTAATGTTACCGGAATAATAATCTGAAAAATGCATCAATAATCATTTTAGAAATAAATTAATTCGTTACTTCTATTTACATCATTATTTCCATGAAGTTTTTAAGTCTGGCTTAACCCTGATTAAAAAAAAAAGTATTGAGACAAAGAAAATAGTATTGAAAAAAATTGGTTTTCTAGTCAATCGAATACTTTTTTCTTTGTCTCAATACTTTTTTTTTATTCAGGGAAATTAAAATTCTTAAATTACAAGCCCAATCAGCAATTTTTTCATCTGTAAAATTTACCGTAATTACAATGTTAATAATTTAGTATTAATGAGACATTACTTTATATAGATGCCTTTTTATTCAGATTTTTTGGCAATGGAAGTTGATGAAACAGTTGGCCAGTCACAAACAAACTGTTTCAAGTATCAATCAAATGAAGAATTCCATGAAAAATTTGATTTTCATGTCTCAGAATCAGGATGGGTAAATTTATAATTTAAAAAATACTGATACATATATTAATTTATAAACATGTCTTAATTGTTTACTAAATTTTTACTAGAGTTCTTCGAATCCATCGTCACCCGAATCACCGAATCTGAACAGAAATTTTTATAAACGCAAAGGACAGGTATGATTATAAAATTAATTAAATAGAATATATCGTTAATTCACCTTGGATATTATATTTTATGAAAATAAGCTAATTAATTCAAATTGTTTCATTTATAGAGTCACTCGAGAGATATATACAGGACGAACTATGCACAAAAAGTACCAAAAAACTCAGGACTTTATTCTCCAGGTTCATTCACTGGATCGGTAAGCTTTTATAAATAAATCTGTATTAAAATTCATTTTTTCTCTTTGGATAATTAATTTTGTTTCATTTTAATAACTAGATTAATTCACCAAATTCGTCGTTGGAAAAATCCTTTATAAGAACGGGACAAGAAAGTACACTGTGCAAAGAAAACCAGGTATGATAATTTATAAAAATTAAAAAACTTATATTTTATAAAATAATATTTAATTAATTATATTCACTTTTTTTATTTATTAATTTATTTTTTTGTCCAGTTTTTGATTGGACTCAAACCATCAGAACGTATCAGTTACATTCGAGAAATCCTGCCTGTGCAAAATCAGTCAGGATACACCTCACGTTCTAAATGGGAATTAATGGCTCCACCCAAGGCACCTCTACGTCGTCCTCACAGTCCATCATCTCATCTTATTTGATAAGCAAAAAATTTTAGCAGAAAAAATTTTTTTTCTGTTGAAATGCAATTGAAATTCAGTTATTATAAAGATAACGAATTTTCAGTTGTAATTAATAGTACATACTATTAATATTTTATTGTCGTCAAATCTCTTGCTTTATTCTCTGATGCTATGCATCAGATTTGAATTAAGGCAACAAGAGAATTTATATTTGTATGGCAATTGTCTAATTATCATAATGCGTTATAGGAATTTTTTGCAATTCGATTGAAAAAATTTACTTATATTGTCAGTTTTGATACTTTATTACATTTAACAATGACAAAATTAATTATATGTTTCTTAGAAAAACTATAGTTCATTATATACTTAAGAGTATTCGTAAAAGTACAGAAATTTCATACCGAATGCGAAAGTCTTGATTAATGGTATAATCTTTAGGTGATATTAATCATTTTAATTAAAAATAGTTTCTATGAGTGTTTTAAACTCTGAGGTATAATTACTAAGGATTTTATATTTATAAGTAAATATGTCGTTTATAATTACGACAATGACTGTTTTATTTAAAAGCGTTTAAGCAATTGAAAAAAGAATTTTTTTTTTTTTGCGAAAGATAAATTATTAATCATTTTTTTGTATTTTTCGCTAAATTATAATCACACCTTACACGTACAAAAATAATGTAAGAATTACATATGCAAATAGTTTAAGTAACATAAATTCTTGAAGATTATTTTTCAAAAGAATTTCGGTAATATGCAGGATATTTTTACGAGTTTAATTATTAAGAATAGTATCAATACAGTAATCGACACTCTGTACAGTCTTGATCGCGACGAGCCTGTAAATTTTTTCAAAATTTTCAATAAAATAAATTGGTAATCAAATTTTGAATTACATATTCAATGAATTTTTACGAGTAATAAATTGAAAGATGCAATATGTCACACAAATTAATAATTTTTATATCCTATTTGATTGAGTATAATATAACGTAAATCTAAAGTATAATAAAATTTCCACAGATAAGATTTTCAAAATATTGATGATTGAAAATTATTTTTAGAATCTTGAAAATGGAATGACTCATTTTTATCATTTAATTACTCGAAAAATTTTAATAATTTACTCGCTGCAATTTCTAAGAATTCATATAATTGAATAAAATATCTTCAAGAATTTCAATAATATTTACAACTTTCCAATAATTCAATAAAGTACAATTTAAATAAGACTAAATACGATTACAGACAATTTAAATTCGTAAGTTAAAACTAGTTAATGCTTCACAAGTTAAGAAGAAAGGTATACAAATCATGACAAAGTTACTCATGAAATAAGTTTAATATTGTTTACACGATATATTTATTAGAATCAAAATAGTTTTCTGAATATTTTGATGAATGGTCAATGATAATGAAATAATTGGAAAGGTCATCAATTATTTTTTTAAACATCATAATAAATTACAAACAAGACCGAATGTATATCTAGATTACACATATAATATGTAGCATGTTGTTTATAATACTTAAAATAACAAAGTGTGACAAAGATATTCTTTCAATATCAAATATAATGTGTTTCTTGACTATGCTCAGTCATCAAATGAAATAATACGTGTAAAAAAAGCATTTAATCAAAATATTTAACTAATTATTATTAAAAAAAAAAAAAAAAAAATTGATTACTAAGGATAAAGATTTTAGTACAGAGAGTTGATTCAAAATATGCGAATGAAAGATATACTAGAATATCTACATAAAAAGTGTGAAATTAATAATAAGAAAATCGTAAAAAGTTATAATTTATAATTAATAACATGGCTTGTAACAAAACTTATTTTTAATATTTGATAAACATAAAAATAGTTGTAATTTAATGTATTTTAATAACTTGTATAATTGTAAGTTTTTAAATTAAGTAATTTATGTAAATTTCACTTAATATGATGAATAATTGTAGTTGTATTATTGTAAGAATTTGTGTGCTTAAATAAACATTGATTGATCTGAAAAATTCAATAGCTTTTTATCTTAAGTACATTAATTAAAATTAATATTACTATTACAACTTTTAATCCTTTAAAATAAGTATATTTATATCCAGATTGGAGTCTTAGCTTAGTTTAGAATAATTATGAAAATTTTAATTGAAAGGGGAGTGGAAGATATCTAAAATATTAATATTAAGTTTTAATTTAAAAATTGTAATTAAAATATCAGAAAAAAATAAGTTAAAAATTTTCTTTTTATGAATATACATTTCAAATTTACTTTATCATCAATACATACAACCTCGACAATAGGTATAACTTTTCCCCTACCTCCTATACCTAGAACTTTTCATTCTATTCATCACATGTAATATTAAATAATAAAATTATTAAATAAATAATCAGTAAATACGATTCTTATAAATAAGTAAAAAATAATCGCAATTCTAACTATAATGTCGCCCAATATAAATAAGTAAGAAAAACAAATTATTATATACTTTAAATTGGAATCCAGAGATTAAAATTTATGTAATAAACAATAACATAAATTTTTAATGGTAAGAATTAAATTATTTGTGATACATATTATTTTTTAATTAATATAAATTTTTTAATTTTTTCAGAACCGACTTATTGAAGTTTGTAATTTTATTTTATGTATATAACCAATAAAACAACTTCACTCAAAACAATTTCATCTGGGGAAAATTAATTCATAATAAATCACGTGTTTAAAATAATCAATGGATTTCAATAATCAAGTCATTACACTTAAAAAATATATGTGAATCTGTATCAATGATGTAAGTAAATATATTTAATAAGTATAAAAAGAAATATTTATCCATTTAAAATCTAATTATTTTTATAAAATATCTAGTGGCTGTTGAAAGATTTTATAAGATAAACATAAACAAAAAATGTTTTAATATTGTAATTAAATATCAGGAAAAATAAGTTAAAAATTTTCTTTTTATGAATATACATTTCAAATTTACTTTATCATCAATACATACAACCTCGACAATAGGTATAACTTTTCCCCTACCTCCTATACCTAGAACTTTTCATTCTATTCATCACATGTAATATTAAATAATAAAATTATTAAATAAATAATCAGTAAATACGATTCTTATAAATAAGTAAAAAATAATCGCAATTCTAACTATAATGTCGCCCAATATAAATAAGTAAGAAAAACAAATTATTATATACTTTAAATTGGAATCCAGAGATTAAAATTTATGTAATAAACAATAACATAAATTTTTAATGGTAAGAATTAAATTATTTGTGATACATATTATTTTTTAATTAATATAAATTTTTTAATTTTTTCAGAACCGACTTATTGAAGTTTGTAATTTTATTTTATGTATATAACCAATAAAACAACTTCACTCAAAACAATTTCATCTGGGGAAAATTAATTCATAATAAATCACGTGTTTAAAATAATCAATGGATTTCAATAATCAAGTCATTACACTTAAAAAATATATGTGAATCTGTATCAATGATGTAAGTAAATATATTTAATAAGTATAAAAAGAAATATTTATCCATTTAAAATCTAATTATTTTTATAAAATATCTAGTGGCTGTTGAAAGATTTTATAAGATAAACATAAACAAAAAATGTTTTAATGAAAAAAAAATAATAATGTCAAGAATACAATTGGTCGGTATAACACGAAAAGCATTTATATTAAGTAAAAATATAATAATTAAAAATAATATACGATTGAATAGCACATCACCGAAATTTAATGCCTTGGAGTGTCTAAATAATCGAGGATTACTCCAAGTAACAGGTAAAGAAGCATCATATTTTTTGCAAGGATTGATTACAAATGATATGAAACATTTTGCTGATGGTGCTACGAATATTTACGGATTATTTTTAAATACCAAAGGTAGAGTACTATACGATACTTTAATCTACAAGGGGATTGATGATGACACTTATTTAATTGAATGTGATTCCGACGTACTCGATGCACTGAAAAAACATCTTATCATGTTCAGAGTGCGTCGTAAAATAGATATACAGTCAATGATTGATAAAATGAAAGTTTGGGTCCTATTTGATGGTAATTTAAATTTACGTGATATTAAATCTAAGACACAAATTAGTAATGTTACATTAGAAGGCGAAATATCGCCTTGCGGATCATTGAATAGTAAGACAAGTAAATCAATTGACGATATTATTATGTTCAAGGATCCAAGAATATCTGGATTAGGTTATAGAATTTTAAGCAATGTAAATATTACTCAAGAAAAAATATATCAACATTTAATACCCGGTATTTCGATAGACGAAAATTCACCGAGTTATCGAGAAATTAGGTATAGATTAGGCATAGCTGAAGGTAGTATGGATTTACCACCGGGTAAAGCATTTCCTCTAGAAGCTAATGGTGATTATTTACATGGAATCAGCTTTCATAAAGGTTGTTATATCGGTCAGGAATTAACAGCTCGCACTCATCATACAGGTGTCGTAAGAAAACGGTTGATGCCTTTAATATTCGATGAAAGTATTGAGAAAAATTTTGAATACGATGAAAATATTATTGATAATAATGGAAAATCCGTAGGTAAATTTCGGGGTGCTGTAAATAAGTATGGTTTGGGATTGATGCGAATTACTGAGTCAAAAAATGCGAGTAGTTTGAGTATTTTAAATAAATCATTGAAAATTAACAAACCGCACTGGTGGCCAATTGATAGCAATCAAAAAGATAAAATTAAGGTTGATGAAGAAAAATAATAAGACTTTAATTGTAAAATAATTGTGATTTAATAATTAATTTTTAGATCATAATAAACGAACAATCAATGCTATGTATAAATGTTTAATTATAATAAAAAATGAACGATAAAAAATAATTTTTTGATCTATTCTTTTTTTTTCTTAATAATTAAATAAATAAATTTAATAATTTATTGTTCTTCAGGACAGATGCCGAACCTCGTTCATCTTCAAGTCTTACTCAGCCTGAAAGTCTCCCAGTGAATGATAAAAATGTCGAAACAAAACAAGATTTGGGTGGCATATTCAAGTGTGAATTTTGTTCGTTGATTGAAAAGTATAATTACAAGGGTCGTAAGCCACCTTTTGCACGAGATATATTGTATGAGGAAGATTGTTATGTAATGAAAGATCCATTTAGTTTGCTCAACGGAGGTGAAACATTAGTAATTGGTAGTGATTGTTCAATATGTAATAAAACAGTATGTTTAGGGTGCAGTATTTTTTATAGTAAAAGATTTTGTCAGGAATGTGCTACAAACAATGAATTATACTTGCCGCATCAATTACAAATTAAAAAAAAACTATCTACGAAAATTACAAATGAATGATCGGTTATTTCCAGTTAACTTTTCTTAAAATACTTGATTTTTTTTCTGAAGTTATTATAAAATGGTAAATAAATCACAATAAACTTATATACATTTTACCAATGCTTTTAAATCTTATTTTAAATTGAGACGATATCCTTAGTGTAGTTAGATAAAATGAACGCGTTATTCACGATACAATAGTATGAAACGCAACGCTAAAAATCTAATAACTTATAATTAAGATATAGGTTTTTTAGGCTTGGACATCAATTTTCCAGCCATATTCTTCTTCTTCTTTTCGAATTTGTTAGCCTTCTTTCCCTTTTTCTTTGCATCGGCTGTCTGGCCTTGGAATGAGTCGTCGCTTTGAGCTGGTGATTTTTTAGCTGCTTCACTCGAGTCTCGCGGTTTCCTTTCTTTTTTCTTTCCTTGGAATTTTACAGTTTCATTTTCAACCTGAAAGAATAAATAATCATATTGTTTAGCAACGACTATCAAATATTTTCATTAGAATACTTACGTCATCATTTTTCTTGTTTTTTTTGGGAGAGCCTCCTTGATGTTTGTTGTTGTGGGGTCTCTTGTTTCCAAATTTGGGTTTGCCCTGTTTTGAACCTGGTTGTTGTGGTTGATAACGCTTTACACGGATTTTACGCTTACGGAATTCTGTATCATCAAGATTCAAAGCTAAGGTTGCTCCGTCTTCAGTTTTGAAGTTGATGTAAGCGATTCCTCTGCAACCACCACTCGCACGATCCCTTACTGTTCTAACATCTTCTATTTTACCACACTTGAGGAACATATCCCATAGCTCATTGTCTTCAGTATCTGTAATTATAATAATAATAATAATTAAATAAAAAGCTTTAAAATTATCAAATAAATTAGCTTAAATTAAAAAATTTCACTTACCAAAAGGCAAATTTCCCAAAAATACTGATTTTTTCGGGTCTCGTTTTTTCTCTTGGTTAACACGATCAACTCTAAGGTAAAATCCTTCAAGTTGTTGACCATTCATTGCCAAAGCTTTGACAGCAGACTCCTCAGCTTTAAATACAATAAATACGCAGATAGATTTACACTTATCATGCATCTTCCTTTTAATAGCCGCAGTTTTGTAGGATATTTTTGGAGATTCTGGAATAACACCTCTTATCCGAAGACTCTCGATGGGACCAAATTTATTAAATTCAGACTTGATACGTGACTCCTTGATGTCCTTTGGGACATTACCGACGTAGATGGATCGTTTGTCTACCTCAGCTTTTTCTTCGGGACTCAGAACTTTTTCCTCGCTTGACGCTGTAGAAATGGTTGAGTTATTGCTCACTGCACTGGCATTCAGTGGTTCATCTTCATCATCGCTTTCGATCTCTTCATCATCATCATCGTCGTTTTCGTCGCCTTCGAAATCTTCGTCATCATCTTCGTCAACCAAACTGTTGCCAAGAAGAGCTTTCAATCCCGGACCATCGGTGTCACTCTCATCATCATCGTCGTCGTCATCGTCATCGTCATCATCATCATCGTCGTCGTCGTCATCTTCATCTGTGTTTATTGAAGTGTTAGTGGACGCTATACTTTGATCCATTTCATCATCATCATCATCATCATCATCATCATCTTCGTCATCGTCATCATCATCCTCTTCTTCAGCTGACTCGTTTTTCTTAACAGGCTTCAATCCTTTGAACATTTTCACTCCTTTCTTGACTTTAGATGATGCTTCCTCATCACTATCTGCTTCGAAATCATCATCATCGTCATCAGTGTCATCGGCTAAACTTTCTCCCAAAAGGTTGACCTTTTCATCGTCAGATGACTCGTCATCATCATCATCATCGTCATCGTCATCGTCTTCCATTCCACTAAGATCTTCAGGAATAGCAACTCCTTCATTGATGTCTTCGTCGGAATCTTCTTCCTCGTCTTCTTTGTTTTTTTTCAATGCTTCATTCTTTTTTTTCTGAGCTTGTTTTTTGGAGTTATTGGACGAGTTCTTGTTGTCAGGTTGTTTGTTATTTGATGAATTTTTTTTTGGTGAATTATTAATTGCTTTTTGAGCATTAGCATTACCGTTTTTCTTATCATGAACAAGTTGAACTTTTCCCTTAGGAGTTTGCTTGAATTTAGGTTGCTTATTTTTTTTAACCTGTCCTTCTTTAATTGCCTTGGCCGGCTGCACTTTACCCGCCTTTTGAGCGCCTTTAGGAATCGCCATGTTTTATTTACTATTTAATAAACGTAAACTGTAACAAAAGAATGTCTTGTTTCAACAATAATGTAACTAGTGAATTTAAATAATTACTACTCCATAATGAAAAATTAGTAGTTAAATATTAATCTTAAGCAAATTATAATTTAATTAACTGTAAAAATAATTTTTGACCACGTGCAATAATTTATTAACGACGTAAAATTAAAATAACTTCTTAAATGATTGAACTAATAAAATAAATGAAAATATTAATAATTATATTAAATATTTAATAATGTTATAAATTAAATCTTTACCTTGTTAGTTATAATAAATTGTTAGTTGAAGTTGACCAACGTTGAACTCAGAATGATAACGACAAATGCTTAAGACGCAAACTCGTTAAAATAATCAGTACGCCGGAAAATGTGTTGCGGCCATTATACATGGTATTACTTGTGGAATTGTGGCGCTCTCTATAACTGACTATTTATAAGTAAAAGTTTAGTCTTAATTATCAGAATTACAATTTTATTTTAGAAAATAATGCTTGATAATAATTATTTTAAACTATAAATAATTTCTGTCAATTGTGTATTTGTTTTAAATAATTTAGCCGGAAGTAACTTTTTTCAAGTTACAATATTTTTATTTTTAAGATTTCATGTTCAGTATTATCAACGTACGGTAAGTTGTAATTTTTAACTTTTTTTTTTTTTCATCGGTGTGTTATACACTATGGAGACTATACACGTCTATGGCTTATGGGCTCTCAAACGACAGAAAAAATTTTTTATAGTATTTTTTTAAATTTAAGTTGACAATTATTAATTTTTGACTTTGTGTTGAATAGTCTTCCAAAAAGTCAACATTTTTTTTTGTGACGCTCGGGCTTTTAACCGTGTTTCACTATTCTAATAGTTAGACAAGAGAAATGACGAATGTTCAAAATGGTTCAATTCCACGATTCCACTTGTTTTCAAATAGCTATGTATATATACCATCGTGGTCATTAATTTAATAAGGAGGTCCTTTCGCCGCCAATGTAAAATAAAAAATATTAGATTATGAGTAAATTCAATTTTTTTCTAATAGTTAAGGTCCTTATTTATTTAATAGTGAGGTTTAAATTATACTTTACCGGACAAATTTTTGAAAAAATAAAATTTTTAAATGTTAGTATTTGTTCAGAGTCTTACGAGAAAGTCAGACGTTTGCAGTATTTCTCGAATTATACTATCAGTCATGGATTAGATGAAGTAAAAAAAAACTAAAAATTAGATTTTCGAAATATTCAGGTTTCTTTTTTTGCAATAAAATATATCAGTTACCGAGATATTTATTGAGAAATTAATATTTAAAAATCACAAAAAATTCTCAAGTAACCTACGTTAAAATGGAGTCAAAACATTTGGCAACGTTGCGTAGCGCGCGAGCTTCAGACCATTCAATAAATTCAAACTAATTTATTTATTTACACTGACTGCAAAAGATTAAAAGTGGTTAAGGTTATATTGTGCAAATGAAAATGTAAACAACCGAAGTACAGCGTTGCCAAATCACGGACAGGTTACTAGCAGCTGATTTGAAAGAGTCAAATTAATTTTTGTATTTAACTATTTTTTTTTTTTCATTTTCAAAATTTCAACGATTAATACCTCATATACTATTTATTATTTAATTTTAGGAATTTTTATGGGTTTCTTTTTTTAATTTATCGTATATTGACTACTACAATTGTTTTGACTCAACTGGAGCGAAAGGATTTCCTTATTAAGTATGTTTTTAAGTTTACTGGAAAATAGCCATTTGTAAAATCGAACGTTTATAAACAATAAATTTGAAAATTATTTGATAATGTAATTTGGAACATTAGTCGTAAATATAAAATGATATTAATAAATTTTGCGAAATCGAAATTTCACCAAGTATAAATTAAGTCATTTATAAAATAGCGAAAAACAAAAATCTGTGGCTACATGAATTTAGCCAATTGTAACTGTAGAAACTTATAAAATTAGCCGTTTTTAAATTTCTTATAAATTTTGAATGGGTCGCCCGAATCTGCTCTAATTTTCAGAAAAACTAAATTTATAGAAGTCCTTTTAGATGCCTTAAATCGTTTTTTGATCCGTCGATCCGTTCAAGAATCACGAGTGATTTAGAAACTGCTAATTTTACAATTCATAAAGTTTACAATCGGCTAATTTTATAAATTTCTGCAATAAGATTTAGCTAAATTCACGTAGCCAAAGATTTTTTTTTCGCTATTTTAAAAATGACTGAATTTATATTAGGTGAAATTTCCATTTTCGCTAATTTCATTAATATCATTTTTTATTTGTGACTAATTTTACAAATGACATTATCAACTAATTTTTAAATTTAGAATTAATGAACGTTCTAGTTTACAAACTGCTATTTTCCAGTGATATTAAAAACATACTTAAATTAATGACCACGATTATTGTGTATATATTAATCGACTTCTAAAAGTCCCTACTGCCGAAACACTCGAAACGTTAACATTGCGAATGTCCTTTGTCCTACTTGCTATTTTTTAAGACATCCTTCTGATTCGCACAATAAATGTTTCTACCTAGTAGTAAAAATTTCCTCTCTGCTTTATAACTGAATAATAGTTGATTCGGTCGTCCTACGTTTTAAAAATCCCAACGTAATACGCTCCAATTTTTTTTAGTTCATGTTGCTACCGTTGTTAAGATAGAAGACTTCATAAAATTGAGTTATCATCATATCTAACAGCGGATACGTTTATTATGTGGATACGTTTGAATCATTCCATACCAAGTCACTGGATTAAAAAAAAAAATATTTTTTTAATTAGCTGAATTTTTTTGTTAATTTCATAACACGCATACTTATAAATTTTTAGCTTTTAACTTTAAAAAGTTCTCAAGATAAGAGTTCTTGAAAATTTCGAAAGAATAATAGTATGGCAAGTTGAAAAAATTCATAACTAATGATCAACAATCTCAAAGTTATGACGGTTTTTTTTTTTTTTCATCTAGGATTGTAGTTTTCGAGAACAATAATTTTTTTTTTTTAACTAGAAACACTTTTCTACATTTCTTTACTATTTTGTTCTTTAACAAAAATAAAATTTATCAAAGTTTTTAACTATACATATTAGATGATTAAATCGAAAGATTGGTTAAATCAAATAATTGAAACTTTCAAAATTCATATTTAATTCAATATTAAATTCACCATTCAAAACAAAAATTACTGTTAAAAAAAAAAACAACGATTGAGTATTATGAATGAATAATTTTTAGTTATACAATGAAAATAATAATTAATATTAATATTAATATTAATTAATATAATTAACATTAATAATTTTCCCTAAAAAATTATTTTCCGAAAAAACTAAAAATATAAATTGATTAATTTTTTTTTAATCAGTAGGCCAGCTAAAAAATTTGAGTAAAAAAACTTTAACATTTTTTTTTTTCAAATTTTGTTTTTCTATAAGCTAAAAATTTTATCCCCTAAGAAAAATAAAAATTTCTTCACTCGCTCCACACCCTAGTAAGTACAATTTGAAATACTCATTAATAGTCATCATTACTAATCAGTATATATTATTTTTAGCCGCAATTAGTAAACAATTGTTTTATGAGTATGATTGTAATTTATCCGGATCTAAGCATGCAAAAGATCAATCCTATCTCGTTCTACCAAGCGAGAAGACAAATATAATTAGAGAGTGAAGAGAGTAAGTAGATGTTGATCGACCATGTATTCGAGGCCATTTAAAATGTGAGCAATGTCCTTGTTGGTCAATCCTTTCATGTGAACGATTGAGAATGTATTGAGTATTGTTATAAACTTCCTCATAGTGTTACTCCATTGCCTTTATATGTCACGTTTAATTTTTTAAAAATAATCGATAAACCATTCTAACTCATTATTACACATTTAAAACGAAATCCTGTTACATTTTCTATCATTAAGAATTACACGACCAATGAATAACGTTCATTCACATTTAATAATAATTAATTACTTGGGAAGGGTTTTGATATTGAAATTTTAAATCAATATATTTGTTAAAAGGTCAAATTGTAACTAAATAATTTTTCTCAGATTATAAATGTAAATTCAATTTTGTAAAATAAGTTTTTATTTAAAAAAAGTTTACAATTTTCAACTGGAAGTTCAGTTATACATATAAATGCTTAAATATCATACATTATAACTCTATATAGCTATTTTAGACATTCATGAATTGGAGTATGTCTTTTCACACTCGCCGATGCAAGCTGGACTATTCTAAAGAAAACATTCACCAACACAAGAACAAGCCTTGGTTTTCAGCTCTTAACTTTCATCGCCTGGCTAAGTCCAAAAGACATGGAGTATAATACTCAGCATTCACCCGCTGTGAAAAATATTTTATTGTTGTGAAACAACAAGTCCCTTAATCTTTTTCTCACTTGTTGACTGTCAATTTTTGACAGCTGGTTTGTTTATTTGCTAATAAAATAACGTTCATATTTACGAAAATAATTCATCGCATATAAATAGACAAGACAAACATTTTTTTTTTTTTTATATTTGCATTATTAATGTATAACTAGGATCGCTATATTTAAAGTCCGATAATATCAGGTTAAACAAGGTGTTTGAACCTTTCGCCTCACGAGAAATAGACTTATTGATTTGGTTTATATATATATATGCTTTGTTACTTAACTCATCTGACGTTCAATAAATTCATTTATTAACTGTCTTGCTATTGCACTCTATGAGTATTTAATCAGAGGTAATGAATGTATAGTTTAATATAACAGAAAAACAATTTTTTTTTCTTCTTTAAATTGACGTTTGAAAAATTTTAATCGTGTAAAAAATCAAGCAAATAAGTATGCTTGGATTAAAATTTAATTTATTGCTCGATGATGTTTCTGAGTACTCCTTTGAATGATTTTTTTTGTTCAAGCCGTAGCAATCGACTTCTTTTCCGGTCGCAATAACATCGCGCAGAAGGAGAATAAATTTTTCAAGGGGACAAACTTCAGAGCATCCTGGTATCGTTTGAGTCACAAATTGCTCTGTAACTCCGGTCCACAATTGTATCTAAATATATTGAATAAAAGAAAAATATAATCCAACAGAGTTCTTTACAAATAAAATAAATATATACTTACTCTGACGAAATAATTGTCAAGATCGTCTTTAAGAGTCTCAAATATGATAGTGGATCCATATAATGGTAATACTGGATCATTAGTACCAAGCGCTCGTGCCACTGCCACCACATTCACCTCATGAGCTGAATAAAAAAAAGCTTTTCTCTGCCGTGGTTGTAGTACTCTATCTTTCAATGCTTTCATTCCTTCCGTTATCTCGTGCAGTAGAATTCCTGAAAATACATAAAAAGGGAAAAGTAGATACAGATAGATTTATGGGTAGTAAAGCAAAGAAAATAAAAAAAAAAAAAAAATCGAGATTTTTGAGTATCATAAATCTAATAAATTTTTTTTTTTTTCATCTCACATCGTACTAAACCTCGTAAACTAAAGTTAACGTAAACATATATGTATAAAATCTGATGAATACCTCCATTCAAGCGTTTTAATTTGTTTGTGTATGATCTGAAATTAAAATCCAATTCCGTGATTTCTTTCATCGGAGTCGGGTAAACATTTTTCGCCCATTCTGGTAAAGTTAAATTTTGCGCAATCTGAAAATAATAAATAGTTTTAATTAAAATATCAGTTATTTATTTTCACCAATTAAATATTTTATTAATTAGTGAATAAATACATTTACCTGTTCGTTAAACAAGTTATATAGATAATAAACATCAGAAGTTTTGACGACTTGTTTGCCAGTATACTCAGTTAAATATTTCATCACATCTTTATACTTGTTTATTATTTTTTTCGCCTGATCTTGCTTCAAAAAGTTTTGGTACTCTTTTATATACCTTGACATTAACAATAATATATTACTTAAATTTTTATTCATTTGCTATTGATATTTATAATAACAATAATAATTATTATTATCTCACTTTATAAATGGGATGAGATAATTTATAATATAACAAGTAAAGTCATAGTAAGCTCTTACTCGGGACAGTGATGGGGAAAAAGCAAACTATCTTGTTCGTTTGGCACAGAAACGGTGGTGACGGGGATCCAGGGCAAGTCCGGGTTCCAAATTTGTGGCCTAGTCGGAGGAAATAAGCCTGCAAGAACAAGTTCTAACGACATCTGAGTTCTAGGCACGTCTGTGGAGCGGGCAAAGATCAAGCTGGGATGGTAGTACGGGCCTAAGAAGTTCCCATATTTCTCTCGAAGTAATTTTCCAATTTTGTACTCTCTCAGTTTTCCTTTCTAATTAAATAAACATTTGATATTGTTCTTCAAAATTGTGATCAGTTACAAACAAATAAATTTGTCAGTTGAAAGTTTTTTGGTGTGATTAATGAACTTGTTAAGAGAGGGGTTGATAGGAAACACAATAATTTCAAACCAAAATGGGTTAATAAATCTAGGAAATATTTTTCAGTTTCTCAAACCTTAAAAGTATATTGTGTGTTGAGTTTGATAAATTGTCAATTATTCATAGTGTGAAATTGAGCACACGATTGAAATGCGTATAGGCACTGAAAAATTTTTTAAATTTAGAAAATCATAAATAAAAAATTTTGAAACTGTCCCATTTGGCGTGGAATGTCTCATATATATCTGCTAATTGCTCAAAAACTGATTATTGTCTTGTTTTTACTCTTTTTTAACTGAATTCATCAGCTTACAAAAGAAATTTATCGGTTAAGAAGCTCCATAAAAAATCTTTTCATATCATGAGAGTTTCTTCACTTTTTTATCAATAAAAATTTTTATAATAGTTTAAAAATCATTCCTACACGGAGAAAATTTTATCGTAGAGTTTATTATCTACTTATGTTAAAATCTATTAACTGAATTCGATAGTAGTAAATATTATTTAAATAATTAAGTAAACTATCTGAATTGTAGTATTTACCATCCTGATGGTAACTACTACTATTATAATGGTAATCAGTAATAATAACTGTTATTATTTTAATTAGTTACTACTATTATCAAAATCGTAATTCCTAATATAACCTGATGATTGTAGTTACCATCAGTAATAATAATAACTACTATCTAAGCTAGTAAAAAATATTTAAAAAATTAAGAATCTGCGTTACCGTGGATGCATTTTTTTTGAAAAAAAATTTGAAATTTCCAAAAATATCAAAATTTTCAATAAAATTCAAATTAAAAAAAAAGAAATTAAAATTTCAAAAAAAAAAAAAATTTTAAATAAATTAAAAAAAAAAAGTTTTGAAGGGAATTTAAAATATTTTAATATTTCAAAGGAAAATGTACATTAGCTAAAATATGGATCTAAATAAAGGATTTAATTAAGTACATTTATATTATTTTTTCTTTTAAAATTTTTACAATCTGAGATGGTTACAGTTACCATCTTCGATTATAACAGTTATAATTTATAATAATTACAATCATTACACCGGCACACAAAAAAAAAAAAACGTAAGGAATAGTACTTTGGACCGGACCTACCTACCGACATGTATTTCGACCCGCTGAATCCGAATTTCAAGTCCGTTTGGCCCGGTCACCCTCCAGTTTTGAGTAAAATGCAAAAAACCTCAAAAAATTGTAAAAAACTGCAAAAAACTGCAGTCACCGCAATAAAAAAATTTTTGTAGACTTAGAATAAAGTGAACGATTTTCTTGAATTTCAAAATGTTCTTCGTTGGTATCGAACTCTTTTGTTCTCAAACGATCTACGCAGTAGATTTTCCTTCCGTTTGTTATTACCTTCCGTTTGTTATTATCTCTTGGTGTATCCCTTTTAAATATCCAGCAAAAATCTGCCATCGTATTAATATTCCAATTTTTTTGATACTTAGTCTTCATTTCACTTATGTCTTGATGGAATCATTCTTCCTGTTCTTCATTGTAGTCTCTAAAATTTTCAGGAAAGTGGTCAATGCGTGAGAATCCATGAAGTGTAGTTTGAGGTTCATTAAGAAAACTAAATTTTTGTAATTTGTCACCAATTTTTCTACTAACGTCCTGTTGTTTTCGTTTCATTGATTTCCTAAAAAGTTTTAAGACACATTTTTGAAACTTACCCAAGCTGCTCTCTCCGTCTCGTTCATTTACTCTATAAAATTTGGATCCTGAAATAGAGTTCGAATTTGGGATCCATCAAAAATTCCTTCTTTTGATTTTGCATCACTTATCGCAGAAAATTTTTCTTTCAAATACTGGAAACAATAGTAGTACACATAGTAGTGGTTCACTGGACACTTGAAAGGGATACACCAAGAGATAATAACAAACGGAAGGAAAATCCACTGCGTAGATCGTTTGAGAACAAAAGAGTTCGATACCAACGAAGAACATTTTGAAATTCAATAAAATCGTTCACTTTATTCTAATTATACGTCATTTTTTATAGAAATTACAATTTTTCATATTTTCAGATTCTTAACTTGTATTTTATGCGTGAAAAAATACAAGAAAAGTATTTAATCATGTTTTATAGATTTTTTTTTTCATATTTGTAACTGCACATTTCCCGATTTTTTTGGTTTTTTGAAATTTTTTTTAATTTTAAAACGTTAGCGGGGAAAGAAAACTTTGTTTGAAAACAGATTCAAACTCAGCAGAACAAAATACATGAAAATCATACTCAATCTGAGTCTAAAACAAATTTTATTTCGAAAACTTCAATTTTTCATGATTTTTTGCAATTTTTTTTGGGTTTTTCGTTATTTTTTCAAATTTGGACGGCTCATCGGGCTAAGTAACTTTTAGATTTAGATTCAGTAAATTGAAATACATAAAAATCATACGTGATCCGGGTCCACAAAAATTTTTTTATTGCTGTGACTGCAGTTTTTTGCAATTTTTTGAGGTTTTTTGAGGTTTTTTGCATTTTACTCAAAACTGGAGGGTGACCGGGCCAAACGGACTTGAAATTCGGATTCAGCGGGTCGAAATACATGTCGGTAGGTAGGTCCGGTCCAAAGTACATTCCACTTTTTTTTTTTTTGTATGCCGGTGTTATTTTTGATAGTAATCGTTACCATTATTAATAGTAACTATGACAATTGTCAATGATACCACCTATTATTTTGTTACTAATTAATTTTATTACCAATTTAGATAGTAGGAGTTACTATTTTTGTATAGTACACTGAGAGAAAATTTTATTTAATAGTAATAAAAAAGTTTATTTGGACTTGAAAAGAAAACTTAGTTAATAGTAATAAAATTATATTCCATATGAATAAAATTTTATTAGTATATATTTAATAAAATTTTCTTAAGTACTAATATGTGTTTTTAATACGAATATTAAGTCATTAAAACAAATAATTTCAAGAAAAAAATTAATATTCATCAATTAATTATAATATATTCAAATATATTTTCACAGTAAAATCTTTTAATAAATAAATAGTATAATAAATATAGTAATAAAATTTTATTACTATTAAATAAAATTTTCTCTCAGTGTAGGTAGTATAATTAATTTTTCTCCGTGTAAATATGTATAAAAAAAGTGCATATTTATCAGAACAATGTTTAACTACCATAGATTTATTTTTTGCATCAACAGTAAGTTTTTGACTACGAGAAATATATTTATTAATTAGAAAATTTTTATCATGTAATTTATTTTTATCTCGTGGATTTTTGAAGGATGGTATTGAATGCTATTAAAATTACAAGGCCGTTTGCATTGTTTTGTGCTTTTTTTAATCGGGCTAAAAGCTTTTAAAGTATTAAAACATTTAGAACTTTTTAGTGCACGGTGGGAGATGACCCATCATTCATCAAAACCATTTGTATCTCTACCGGATAAAAATTCAATTAAGTACTATATTAATTATTATACATTTCAAAAATCTGTGACAAAATGACTCATTGCATAATTAACCGCATAGATTTACGAAAATTTTTTTCGTTGTTTGGCGTATTGTTCTCATTATGTCTGCGGTATTGGAATTATTATGACATATGTCATATCTGATATGACATATGACATATGACATATGTGATATATATCACACATAGATGATGTCGATAACCAAGCTAATGGTATTTTATTCTTCGTAATATGATGGCTAGCTTAGAAACTACAAGAAAATAAATGCACATATCTAACTTTAATAGACTACTAAAATAACATAAAATGTCAATTAATAAATTTAAATTAATACACAGAAAACAACTATTAAGAATCGCGAAGATGTAAGATATTCATTTAAAAATTTCTATTATTCTATAGATAAAAATTTCTCCTAAAAAATGATATCTTAATTTCCCCGGCTTTTATCAATAATAATTTAATCTCACTAATCCTGAGTTTATCTATTAATTATAATAATTTAAACGTTTAGCATTACAAAATGACGAACAATATAATACCATAGGATTATCATAGAGATGTTGTGTAATGAAAAAATAATTGAGATGTTATCATAACTAAGTACAGCATTTAACAATGTTTATTCACACTTTTTCGAATATCTAGGTCAATGACAGTACGTAATAACATAAATACAAAAACTTTAATGTACAATCAATTTTCATTTTGTTTCACCGGAAAACAGCTGGACAAATATTCCGTGCAATTAATAAAAAAATAAAAATATTTTAAATTCTTTAAATGCTTTCTGAAAGTATAAAAAGCATGAAATGCGGGATAATCGTTTTGAATAAAGTTTAAATATTATCAAAATTAAATTTTTCAATTTTATAAATTAAAATATTTTAACAACGAAAAATGTAAATCAGAGAGGATTTTATTTAATTAATCAAACATAACAGAACTTTTGATATCTATTAAAAAGTATGATAAAAAACAATTTTATTTTTTACAAAAAAATCTTGTTGAATTTTTATATCAAATTTCGACCAATTATTTTTTATTCTTCTTGAATTAAAGTGGTTTTTATCGCCGTTAGCATTATTATTTTTAAACTCGACAGTTTATCAAGTATCTCGAAGTACTATTTTTTTTTCAACTCTCTATTTTTTCCACATTTTACCGCACTTTATTGTTTCTTTAACACGTTTTTTATGTCAGGAAGATTTTTTTATTAGAAATTAAATTTGTTATGAAGTCTATAAAAAAAATAATTATATCTTTTAATGAAAAAATTTTATTTCATATTAAAAATAAATATTTTAATGTAGAAAATCAACGGAAATTATAATTTTATTTTTAAAGTAAGAAAATATAATGAAAATGAAATAAATTTTTCATCGGAAAAAAGTATGTTTCTTCTTGATCGCTTTTCTTTGAAATTGCGGAAACTTTTATTTTTAATCTCTGCATTAAAATCACGTAGAACGTAAAATAAAAAAATTCCACTTTATCGCAAATCACGACACTTAAACTTTTTAAGCGGTATCAGAAAAAAGTGCTAAAAGTTATTCACTAATTATTAAATTAATCCATTGAAGAAAAATGAGAAAGTTTTGTGTACAGAGATAGGCAAGATTAATGATCAAGAGTTAGCTACAAATCAAGATATTAATTAATTTATTTTCATTTGACTGAAGATCAGTCTGAAAGGATGCATTCCCTACACGGATTTCACACTAGTTGCTTACACAAGTGCATGCAATCAATTATTGATAATCAAGTTACTCACGTTTGTTAAATCTCCACTATCCATGGGATAATATGAATGATTTCCGTGTGGGTCGTTGGGGTAAAATTGGAACTCTTTGTGGGGTACTTTATCGCCATGACGAAATAGCTAAAAAAATATGTACCAGTTTAATGATTATTTTTTCCCCAATCGTATACTCGTAGCGCGATACTTTTTTTTTATAAATTACAATTAAAATTTTTTTGTTTTCATTGATTATTAAATTTATTAATACGAATTCATTCATTAAACATTTGTATTTAATTAATTAATATACTTATAATTACACAAGTTTTCTACTGTGATTTTATTTAAAAATTTAATTAATTTTTATTTTTATCGTAATGAATCAAAGCTAATGGCAAATTAAAAAAATAATTACCACGTGCAAAAGTTTAATTTCTACTTCGGATTTTCCTATTTCAATGACTCCTTGAATAATAAAAATTTTAAAAAGTACAATCCACCAAAGCTCCATGATCGAAAATTAATATTTCTTTCAATTTCAAATTGTAAAAATTTGAACTCAGACTAGTAGTAAAAATAATACTTGGTTGGTTTGTTTAACAAAAAAAAAAAGGTAGTAAATACGTCGTTATATCACAACCGTTTAGAACGATGTGATATTATAAGTATATCCGACATAGTCAGTCCCGATGAGAAGGTAAATTTCGAGTGGGGGATCCCGATGAATAATACAGGTTTACACGAAAACAATCGCTTTCATTGGTTCTTTTTATAACTGATACCGATGGTGAAATATAGATTAACAATTATCAATTAGATAATAACCTTTATTAATATGCATTATTACGTTGTATAATATGGAAAACGAAAAAATATATAAATGTGGATAAATAATTATTAATTTATCATTCAATGACATTCTTGTGTTATTATTTCTCTACACCGCTCTGATAAGTTGAGTAGAAAAAAATCTAAGAGCAGTTATTCTTGACTTGAGGATTGAATCAAATTATTCTTCAAAGCTAATTATTAAATTTATGGCAGGGATTCTTATTACATGAAAATCCAGTCTATAAATCGTACAGAGTATCAAAGTCAATCAATGCATTTGCATCTGAGATTGACATTTTTATGTTTCTAATAAGTTTTAAAGTGTAATTAGAAAATTAGTATCGTAACTAATCGACATATTATACCAAAATATTATCATCTTAGTGATTTAATCTTCATAATTTGTTTAATAAATACTTATTGTAATTAATAAATAAGTTATTAGCGTTCTTATCCATAGTTTGTAATATATTAAAACGGTTCTTATTTTCAGGATATTTAATATTTGATATTTTTTATTTAATTTTCATACGACGTTTCGCCACTTTCGCCACTTCGCAGTATAAATTTTATTTTCATACTTTATTTAATTAATAATTGTTAAATTGTTGAGTATTGAAAATATTGTGATATGATACTATAATAACAAAAAGAATTTTAAGTCGAATGAATGCCGATATTATTGTACATAAATTTAACAATTGATGTTTGTAATTGAGGTAATTTTATTAGTGTTTTAAATTAGTTTAATTTGATCTGTTAATTAAATTATTACTAATTGTTGTGTATTATATATATATATATATATATATATATATATATATTTTTCTTTCTATTTTTTTTTTTTAATGAAAAAAATTTTTTTTTTTTTTTAAAGTACATTTAAAGACAAAAATTTCAAAAAAAAAAAAAACATCCCAAAAAGTCAATTTTCAAAAAAGTTATGGTTATTTAACAAAAAAAAGCTGTTTTTTTGTAATAACTCGTAACTTTTTTTTGGTTGGGTAAAAAATTTGAAAAAATTCTGAAAATTGTTTTCAATAGGGTAGAGAAAGATACCAAAATTTCAGAAAAATCGAAAAGGGTCGGTGTCAAAAGTGGTCGATTTGGCATGGAATGCCCCATATATATGATGAAAATGTAATTATGATTATTGTCTGTTGTAGTACCTGAGGAAGCTGCGAAAGTGGCGAAACGTTGTATAAAAATTGAATAAACATCAAATATTAAATATCCTGAAAATAAGAACCGTTTTAATATATTAATAAATAAGATAAAATTGCCGAATGACGATAAATGAATAAATAAATAAATAATGATATTTTTCAATTCATATATAAATGAATAGATAAATAAATTATGATATTTTTAAATTCATATCGAGTAAGGTCAAAAAATCTCTCATTTGAACAGCTTTATAGATGTTTAGTCTAGAATTTTCGGAAAATCGAAAAAAATTTTACATTCCAACGGAAAAAAAGTATAAACGGGATTTTCTCGTGTCACAAACGGAGTTCGTGATGGGCGTAAAGACTATGAAATAACCTCATACCAAACCCGATTTTTTCCGTTTTTGAGTAAATTTAATTTTTCTGTTGGTATATGGAGCGGTTCATCGGTAAGGCTTATATCTGTATCGGTTGAGATTCCTTGGTACCAGATACAGAATGATCTAGTGAGATTGATTTTGTTGGTGCTTCTAAGTAGAATACGACGCTACTAATTACTCAACTACGAACATCGCCAAATGCCCAGAGCTCGATAAAACTGTCAGAGATTATCGAAGACTAAAAATAGTTGATTTCGGCAGCGTTTATAAAGGGTGTCAGATCATAAAGGTAGGAAAACATGTGGTGATAAAATAATAAGGTAGCTGAAAAGTTTGAAAACATACGAAAACATCATATGATCATAAGAAAATGAGATCATACAGTAGTTTCCGGGTGACGTTACTCAATTTTTATCAACAGCTACTGAAATTTAAAGGGTTGTAGGTCGCGAGTAAACACAAGTATTCGAGAGCGACAAGATTATTCTGGAAAAACGTATGGCATAAACTGATCAAGTAAATATGAATAACGAAATCATTAACGGTGTTTTCTACTGCTGGTAGCAACAAGAGTACATACAGTTAAAAAAAAAAGAAAAATTAAGTAAAATATAAAATACATATATAGAACATAAATGAACCAGCTAGTTATGTTGAAACACAATAATTATTAATATTTTTTAATATTAAGTTGAAAAGCAACACACAAAAAAAAATTTTTGAATTTAAGAAGACGTCACATTTGAAATCACTTTTTTTCAACTAGCTTTTTGTAATATAAAAATTTACAAAACACAACCGGTGCAAAAATAGGTTGATTTTCGTACAATTTTCTTCGTATAGCCTGCATTTTTTTCATCGATTTTTGGCAAAAGATGGTAAATTACCACGTGGTAAACCATTCTCTTTGAAATGTGGTTCCTAATGTTTGTTTCAAACTTATCAATCCGAAAATATTTCGTTCGCGATAAGAAACAAATTTTTTTTTTTTTTGAGGACTCGACTTTTGTACCCTCTGAAAATTGGACAAGAAACGCTGGACAATATTAAGAATTTGTTTTTATTCTAAAAGGATAACATGATGTTCTGGAAAAAGTTTTATTGTAACATCTGATAAAGATTAAAAAAACGTTTTTGAAAATAAGCTTTTTTCGCTCTTCCGAGAGGACGCCTATCTTCAGCCTGTGAGTATTGATAAAAAAAAAAAAAAAAAAAGTAAGATGAACTGGTACAAAAATACAATTCTTTCAATTTTGAAAGCCGACTAGTTGACTGCTTCAAATTTTTTCTGATTATTTTCAACAAAGAACTTGAGAAAACTCGTGGGATTCATCAAGCGGAAGATTGCTCCATTTCGCTATTTCATTTTTTTCTTCGTAATTTCAACCATTAAGATTGTACATTTTATATTTATATTAATTTTTCTTCCATTAATATACCAGACTACGCGCAAAATAATTAAGTTAAATATGAAGCTTTTCAAATGAAAGATTTTATAGTAATTTAAAAATTTGCGATGTAGAGAGTTGCTATATTTCACGTAATTTTTTCTAAGCTATTTTCATTTGATAATATAAATTTTAATTCAAAAATTTTGAAAAGGCTTTGAGATTTTTCGTTTATCACAGATAATAATACCATGTTCATAGTTTTTTTTCTCAAATATTTTATGAAAAAAAGGAATTTTTCACGGTAATATTGCCTGCTTGTTTAAACACTTTTTTCTTCTACATTTTGTAGATTATTTACAGTGTCATTTTTTATTTAAAAAAAGAGAAAATGAACACATTTCGAAATATCATGATTTTTTTACATAATTGAATATGTTTTTACGGAATCGATAACTCGAGGCGAGTAATTCTGAGAAGATTTAAATGTTAATGAAGAACTCCAACATAGAAGAGTAATCCAGGCGTAAGTACTTGTCTTCCTTATAAAATTCATCAAAAAGACGTCATCCTGCGTAAAAACTCAGACGATACGCTGTCGATTGGATCTTTTAACGTTTTAAAGTAAATTATGTGTAAAGAGATACTTATTTTTTCTTAGTTTAATTATTTTCAAGATGTCCGTTATATCACTGAAAAGTATTGAAGACATAATAAATATTTTTATAAAAAAAAATTATGAGAAATATAAATTTATCGATGGAAAGTACCATAGAAGAAAAAATTAATCTTGTTGTTATTCATTAATTATTAACTTTGATGACGGATATAATATAAATCAAATATGAAGAATAACATATAAAATAAATATTGAAAAAAATGAATTCATGACCGATACTATTTAAATCTTTGATAGAAAACAGTGGGGATTTTTTATTTACAGCCCAATCAATTCCGGAAAAGAGTGAAACTATATTAATGTGTAAAAAAATACAAAATAAAAACGTTATGACTTTCTTCATTTTGAAGATTTTACCAAATTATAAATCACAATTGATGTCATAAATTAATAAAAAGGTAATAACAGCTGGTAAATTATTCAAACTATACTCGTACATAGAGAGACTATGGTAATCCCCACAATGTAGCATGCTAATCATTGTCGTGTACATGGTAATCAGATCTATTTTTAACGTAGTTTCGCCATCGCAAATAGTGATACTACCTATTCTCTTACATACTATTGCTTATTCTCTTTTACTCAATTGTGATTAAAATCTTTTCAAATATCTTTAGTAACAGGCAGAAATTTTAAATTGAGCAATTTCTTTTGAGAGTAAATTTGATGAAATTTTATATAAAAATTTGAAAAACGGTCGACCCTGCAGGCCATTTCTGTACGAGTCCAAAACACTCGAAAAATTATCTATCCCGGACTTTTGAGCTCTTCTAGTTCAAGCACACATCATCTACTTTTTCGAGCCCGAAAATCTAAGGGTTGTTGAAAACATACTTCTTTGAAAATTTTTAGTTGCCATATCTTCCGATCGAATCAATCGTTTTTTATGGGACTTGCAGTATTCGACGTAGTTTTTTAAGCAAAAAAAGATTATTCATTATCTACTAAACGATTTGACGTAAAATTTTAAAGTTACATTTTTTATGTTTTTTACATATTTTTCCAAATTTTTCGACTACGATTTCTCTTGAATAAATAAATCGACTTTGATGCGGTTTCAGGCA